ATGTACTGGTACATGTACAAATGATACATGATTTGGTTGGGTTACATGTACATGTATGTTCGTGATTATTTTGCTTCATGAGACTTGATTAAATTTTGCAATTTCTTTACACATGTACATGAGGGTCAATGCTCATACTGAACAGAATATTTACAATACCAAGAGTGACAGTTTGAAGACTCTTTTAGAAATGTTAGCATTTATGAGGGTGTACATGTAGTGCTACATATTTCAATTCAGTACACGATTGAAAACAACATTCCTACAGTCCCAGATTCTCTATAGATTTATCGTTGGCCCTGTTTCTAGAAGTCTGTGAAGGGGTTTTATACCTTGACTTGTTGAATTTAACATCTTTTCTCCAAAGTCTCTTATGTGATCCTGTGCCAGAAGCCCTTGAGTTCAGCACTCAAGTCTCTTCATAAAAATACACATGAAAAGAATATATGAATCAATTACAGATTTCTCAGAGGAAAAAGTTGGTTTGGGCAAATCTTTCTCCACGAGCATACATGTAGGGGTGTACTGGTACATGTAGGCTTATACATATATAACCAAAATATGTTGGTTTTTTTTTTTTTTAACAGAGTCGTTACGCAATAACAGTTTTTAAAAACTGCTTACATGTAGGTTTACATGCGTGGATATGTATGTACATGTATGTACATCTGCACGTCAATTTTGAGAAAGCTCAAAGTTGTTTTGTATTTATACTTTGGGAGTAATTAATGTAAAATGTACATTTACTTTTTATACAAGTGTGTAAAAGAAAAAATGAATAATAAAAAAGTTGTCTGCTTCATTTTTGCACCTCCATGCTTGCCATGTGATCAGGGCATACCAACCGAAAGTGTAATTCGATACTTTTTAAAACTGCACTTGGCTGAGTGGCTGGCTGAGTGGTCTGTCATATTTATGTTGGCCCAACCTTCCCCCAATGTCTGGAATAGCCGCGGGCCCTACCTTGGTTTCGGGAGTTTCCAATGGTACATCCATGCAAACACCACTGCCAAGTGTGGCTTACTATCACAGGTTACAGCCCTACAGGGGTTTTTATGTTCTCAATGTGCGAGCTGGAACAAGAGTAATTCAGTTCATTACTGAGTGAGTTCACTGAGGACAGTGGGAGAGAGCGAACAGAGCATTCATGCGCATGAGGACTGTTCGCCATTTTGGTTGGATTTCTGTGATCGACCCGTTGTGGCCAAGTTGCCTACTTACATGTATTTATTGGTTGCTTGCTGCGTCATCATAGTGCTGAATATTCGAAAGACGGTTTTTCTGAAGATGTACACAGGTAAGATGTGCCATACATGTGTTTGAAATTTGTTTTGGTGAGGATTTTGTCACTCGGTGGTAGGAGTTAAACACATTGCTCCATTTTTTCCCAGGCATTCTTTGGACGTCTTGAGATGGCACATGTACAAGTACGTGTCCTTGGCACTTCACTACGCACAGTTGCTGGAGGCGGTACAAATGTGCATACATGTGTTCCACCCATATACATGTACTTTTATAGCTACTAAAAGTCACAAATTATCTGTTGCGCTTGATCGCCTGACCAAGCTGACAGACTCAATTTCAAGTCTGAGCAAGTGACTGAACCTCACACATTCAAACACTGCGGAGCTACATGTACATGTATGCAGGCAGTCTGACAGGCTTAGCATCTAGTCCTTCCAGATGCCATCTTTGAAGTTGTAAGCAAGTTATTTTCCCAGAATGAATCAACACTCATCTAGGAACTTCTTCATACAGTGTAATATTCACATCTTGGTTTTTATTTCATATGAAAAGTGAGAATTTAAATTAATCTGTTAATAAATCAATTAATAAATTTGTATGAATCTGTTTTAAATGTATATGTACATTGTATTCGCAATTCTGTCACTGACGGCGAGGAGTACAATTAAAAATAAACTAGGAATAATCATAATTTCCAGAACTGGTTCCCCCTTTTGGGGAATAATTTAAAAAGTTATGATCCAATAGGTTTTAGATTTTGAATCTGTGTAGCTAGAAACATCCACCTTACACTTTCTTCATGACTCAATGAAAGGTTTCCACAGATTGCAATTGCACGGTATTTTCATTTCAACAAAATCAAAATCACTTTAAAAAGGCTTATTTTTCATTCGTCTTTCAACTGTCCCCAGTCTACCTCCAGAATTAGAGAACTGATGATCTGCAGTTACTCAGAGAATCTACTCACAATTAGCCCACAAAAACCAGGCTTTGAATGAGCACCCATGTTGGATGTTGCTTCTTCCTAGCATTAGACTCACAAACAATAGGGGGGAAGATTGGGCCTTCATAGCCTCAGAACTGTTCTGCTGTTGTCCCCTGTTTCTTGTCTTTCTTCTTTCATGTCTTACCTCCAAAACTTCTTGATACAGTGCTTTCTACAGGGCCATAAGCTTTAATCCTGAAAAGCACGGCTGCACAGAAGATGAAGAAAAAAGTCTTCACATTGTCCTCTCCCTGGCACTGCCCTGCGCTGAAAATAAAAGGACAAAAAAGAAAGTGAGGAGAAAGTTAGACGAAAGTAGAAAATACCCCAGGGTTTTGCAAGCAGAGGGTTTGTTTTGGGTGGAGAGCGAGTCTTCAGCAGTGTTGTGGCATTTGAGCAGGTTGGAGTTTGGGGCAACGGACATTGTGAGGGTGTTAATCCAGCTGGTTTTCTTACTTTGAGCTCCCTTTGAGGAAGTCAAATAAGGAAGGGTTTTCTTTGGTGGTGATCAAAGGAGTTGAAGGGACACTGTGGTCGCCTTTTTTTTATTGGAGAGTGGGTAAAGATCGGGCATGTCATGAGTCAGTACCTGCTTTCCCAGGAGACATTTCATCCCAGTTTTGGCACCTGGTTTTGTCTGTTTGTAGATTCGAAACAAATCCCCCCTTTAGGCGAGAACGTCATAGATATAATAGAGGTATCAAAACTGAATTGGTCCTGGCAAACAAATTATTCCTGCCCACAGATAATGCTGGAAGCTTGAATTGTGCATCTTTGAGTGAAATGGCAACTTTGTAATAACTCCATCACAACTTTTCATCAGTCATATTGCATACCAAAGTATTTATATGTACTGGTATACCCAGCACTTTTAAAAACAATAATAATTGAAAATTTATAATGCGCCATTTCCATAAAAATGATCAACGGCGCAGTACAAGTTAACGTGAAAAATAAATTTAAGAAATGGAAGGATAAGGATAAATGAATAAGGATAACTGAATGATAGTTACTACGCTAGTACCCAAATCGCAGTAAGGGGCTACGTCTGCCCTGCCAACAGGGAGAACCCAACCCTGTCAATAGAAAGTAGCTCTTTGGCAAAACAGTGACATATTTCCATTTGGAAAGTCATTGCAGTATTCAGCCTACTTCTACACTCAGAGAATGGTTGATTCTTGCCTCTCCTTCAATAAAATTGCGATGAAGGGAAACGGAAGACATGTTGGCTGGTGTAGGAATTTCACTCTCAGTTGGGGCAAAAGTTTACACTTGGTTGAACAAAAGTAGTTTTCCTCAAATTTCACAACTTTACTCATTCCCACCAACTTTTCTTTTCATGAGGACAAACAAGATGGATCTCTACATAATGTACATGGTGTATGTATCAAATAAAAACACCCAGAGACGTATGTATGTACAAGTATATATGATTCATAATTTTAAAAAATAATCAAAATTTTACATACTCCAACCCTAATATTTAGTGCCACATTCTATATTTTTTGCAGATCTCATAGTCACAGTGGACCACTTTCTGAGGAGTTTTTGAACAATAAAATGAAAATTTTCACTCAAGATTTTTCAAAAATATTAATATTTTAAACCATAATAAATGTTTCTGAGTATTTTCAATCAAAGTACACACTGTGAACAGTTTGTCTGACCTCCTAAAGAAAAAGTTGGCAAAACTATTTCAAACAGCAAAAAAAGTGAGGCAAATTGTTTTTCTACGCAGTGTACATGTATGTAAACTTATGACCCAACTGTAGGCTTGCCCTGTCTGCCCCACTCTTTTCCTGCTTGTGGTTTCAAACTGTGAATATTCTGTGGATTTCCTCATACTTCTGTTATGTACATGTACTTGTGATCCTGCCAAATGTTTCAAATGTCCCTCTCACTACATGTACCGGTACCCCACCACGTGGCCATCATGAAAAAGCGCCCTCTTTCATCTATGCACATGGCACATGCAAGTGGTGAACTTCAGAGCACCCTCGGTTGTAACAGATTGCTCCCAACGCTTCAAAACACATGCTGCCTGTGCACTGTGTTGAATCCCTAAAACGGACAGCATTTGTTCGTGTACAAGTCTGAAGTGCAGCCCAGGTTCAAGAGGCTGAAGTGCACTGCTTTGTGAGGGGGGGGTGAAAGCAACATGAAAAGAGGGCCCAGAAATGAACAGAATAGGGAAGCCGGACAATGACAAGCTGGAATTGCATTCAGATACACATGGTTGGAAAGAAAAGCACTCTCCAGGGTACTTGTGTACTTTATTTTTCCCCCACTTTTTTGAGATTGGGAAGTGACAGCAGGCTCTAATCACTGGAAAGATTCTAGGAGAATCGTTTGAAAGATCGACGGTGAAGTTCACAATAGGACTGAACTCAGGGAAAGAATTAGAAACAGTGAAGGCAAGAGCAAAAAGGAGCTTGCCACCACCAAAAAAGCACGTACAAGTATAGGTTTCCAATTGCATTTGTGACACAGACTCGTACAGTTCAGAGGTTTTGGGGCAGAAACTTTTCACACTTTTTACCTTTCCCTGCTCTGTATTTGTTTTGTTCTCATTCTGGCCCCAAAGGGTTACAAAAACCCGAGTACATTTTCATGGATTGTTTCTAGACAAAACTTTTTCATCCTAGTGCTTATCCCGTCCTGTTCACTGCCCAGAATGACAAGTCTAAATACTAAGCCAGCTTTGAGTCACGATGGCTATTGTCTGTCTGCTTTCCCTGTTCTCTCCCCCCCCACCATTGATGATACTACAACAGTATTGTGATGCCAAGCTCTACTCGCCATTGTATCTGCCAACCAACCACTGGCCAAATTGCCAAGCCACTTTATGCGGAGCTAGTACTTTAGTACATGTTGCCCTGGGCAGTTGAGCTCCATTTGAATAGGGCAGAGATATCTATGCATCCCTCCTACGCAGCTATTGCGATCTGGAGGCTTGCCGTGCCCTGAAGTATATCCTCCGTGGTCTTACCGGTAGCTGGTTAGCACGACAATGTGCCCAACTTTGCATTTGTTGTCACTCTTCGTTGGGCCTGTACACGGATTCACTTTCTAGTGGTCAGTCATAGAGATGAAGTGATTGTAATGCTAATCACCTGTGGGCATAAATCCTTGATTGGACTTAGGAAGAAGGACTGGATATCTGTGATACATGGACAGTGTACCAGTAGCGTGACTTTGTACATGTCCATCTGCAGAACTCTTCACCTGGATTCATACTGGTACTTGTGCAAGCTACTTGGAACTACTTACCAGATTTGGTTACAGTTAGCAATATGTCTGTCATATTGCATTTTTATGGTGCTGGTACGTGTACGCTGTACAGATCACTGATGAAGACATTCCAGACTGGTGCCAGAAGTTGTTGAACTGACAACCTGTTTGTCACTATTACATGCTTCATTAGGATGAACCCTGCAGAACCAAGAGTCAAAACAGTCCTTGCTCAAAAATTATCGGCCATCCGTGACATTTCGGTGTAAGAAACCATAATAATTGGCTACGGCATGGGCAGCCTTGTGAGTCATAAGGCACTCGCATGACTTGTAACGTCTCAAAAATTGGGTGGGTCACAGTGCAAAAAATAGAGTAGGCTTGCACTGATGCATCAACAGTTCCTGCCCAGAGAACTACGTCTGGAATACCATGCAAAGTCTACATTTCTAATCACACATCTAAGTCTTCTTCACACACGATTGGCAAGTCGTCTCTAGATTGGCAAGTCACCTCTCCATGGAGATGTACGTGCAGTGCATGTACATGTACATACAGTATCTCAACAGTACTATGAAGCTGCACTTGGTTAAAGGAACACTGGAGTAACTGTAAAAGTGTCTTTTTTTTAACCGGTGAGGTGCGCAGTATTCATGTGAAGTGTACATCTATTAAGAACTTCTTGGAGTCACAGGACATTGGTTCACAGACGTTAGAATGTCCTCATCAGATTTGTCCAAGTCTATTCCTGGGATGCCCTCTCTGCCCTCAGATTTAAAACTGGATTTCTATCATCTGCAGAGTGAAGGCAAGTACTTACGGGTACATGTGGGTTAATATTTTACACCTTGAACAGAGTGCTATGTTGGGTAATGAGAAAATGCATGTTTTACCTACATCTTATCGCAAGGAAATACATGCATGTTGTGTACATGTTTGCACTCTTGTAAACATGTAAAATGTTGTACTTGTGTTTAAAATACTTGTAGATGTTGGAACATCGACATTATACAAACTCGTAGCTCCTTAATGTGGCACTGTGTATGAAAAAGGAATCCAAGTCAAAAGAACTAGATGTAAGCTGTGGAACATACATGCGTTTACTTTTCATTAAGTGAATTGTTTAAATTGTTTCTGTGGTATTAATGGCTTATGCCCGTGTGTTTGATTTGTAACAATGTGCATATTGTTAGCTTTTTATTCAAAGCCAGTATGCACTGGTACGTTATGGCCCCGAAATTCTCTGTCATGTGTCTGTCTGGTACTGGTAACTTGTAGCCGTTTTGGTTGGCACTAACATTTTGATTCCTGTTTTTCTTGAATTCTTTGACACAAGAAAGTTTTATTTTATTGCAATTTTTCGAAGCATTGCTGAAAGTACTAGTCGCACATACCATTGCATTCTCTTAAGGGCCGATTCATTCTACAGCCATGTTCATGTTGGATTAAATATTGTAAAAAAGTTACCACGGGTGCTTGTTAAGGTTCATTTACAGTCATTATTGTTAATTTTTCTGGTAATGATAGTAAGGATTCCTCAAAAGTGCCTTAGGCACTGTATGTGTAGCTCACAAACCTGAAGAAACCTGTTCAGAAGAAACAATGAGAAGCAGTTACAGTTTTAGAGGTGGGAGGAAAACCCCAGAGGAATATTCTGGTATAAAACCCACGGAATCAGGTAGGGACTGAAAACCCAAGCCACATGTGGACCGAGCCGGGAGTCGAACTCAGACCGCAGGGGTAAGGTGGGGAAAGGACCACTACACCAACTCGGCTCCTCTAAATTGTTAATTCTTCCATGCATCTGCACAAAACTCCCGGCCCATGGAAAGCTCCTCAGTCACGTGTTGAACTTAAAATGTGCATGAGTGATTCACATTTTTGTAGTACATACTTGCCTCAGTGTCTCAAATTTGAACTGACAGTTACTTGTCAGTAACTACATTTACCCTTATGTGTTGTGTAAAGAACAATAAAGTGAAGTGTTGACAAGGAGTGTTTCAGTTGAATACCAAATCAGTCCTCACTGTTAATGATGTTCACCTACATGTAGCCCTCACCATTCCAACAGTCTTTGTTTGAAAAACATGGAATTTGCTACCACTTTTCTACATTTTGTACATGTACCCCCAGTACTGTAGAAAGCATACACAGGCATGCAATTTGCACTTGAAGGTCTGTGTGCACTTATGTAGCATAGGTTAATAACACGGACCTTTATTTTTTTGCCATGGGAATCTGGAGAAATGCTTTTAGTGTACCTATGGGTACATGAGATGTTTGGGTTTTGTTAGTGCCTTGTTTTTTGCAGCGGAATAGCTATGGACCTCAGTGCTGAAATCAGACAAAGTAGGGGGAAAACATCACAGTCATTCAAGAATGTACATGTACCTGTTATAAATGTTAAAGTGAAAGTATTTTCCTCTCCCCTTGCCATCTGAAAATGACCCAATTTTGTCGTCGTTGCAGGGAGCAGCAGCCTAGGGCTTCAGAATCTGGTGGAAGATAAGGACGTGGCCGCCAAAGCTGTCGCGTTGGTCGTCAACAGCAGCCGGAAAGGGGTCGTGTCGCTCTGCGCTGACGTGGCCAGTATACTCAGAGCAAAGAAGAAGTACGTCCCACATAAATAGTTTTCTTTTTCTCATTTTCCTTGCATTAATTGCTCTGCATTTCTATGATTCATTGACTAAGGAAGAGAAGAATCATGATGAGATACTCTACAGTGGTTCAGATCAGGATTTCTACACGAACTGGTAACGGTACTGGTACGTGAAGATGAGTTTTATTTGTGAGGAATCTGAATCTGTTTTTTTTTTTCTCCTCACTGCATAAGGGAGAAGTTACCGTAGGTGATTTGCAGATTACAAGCAATTTGATACATGAAAATTATGGCAGCGCACTTTGCTTTGAGTAAGTTAAAAGCGGGAAACATATTTTGTGTATCAATTCCAGTTACCAGGATGTAGTACCATACTTTTTGGTTGAGTACTTCTCCAAACATAACATGGCAAAATATTGTCACGTACATGTATGCATGATTCACGATACATGTTTACAAGTACAATAAGCCATTTGCGAGTTAAATTTGAATAAAATCTGATACACTGAGTTATTTGATTGCACACAAACGTAACAATTTTAATTCCCCAGACTAAAGACACTGTTGCTAAACCTCGTGATTCGAGGCAAGCTTGAGCAGAGCGACCACCATCTCTGGAATGGACTGATTTGTTTGTGCCCTTCTTATCCATTGAGAACAGTGTATTGGTGCAGGGCATCTGTCATGTAACTAAGCAAAAGCTTGCCCCGAATCACGAGGTATAGCAACAGTGTTTTTAGTATGGAGAATTCAAATTGTTATGTTCCCGTGAATTTAAAGAACTCAGAGTACTAGATTTTATTCAAAGGTGTCTCGTAAAAGGCTGATTTACACATGTTACCTGTATTTTTCATGTACAGGAAACATGTGAAGAGTTAGTCAAGACTGTACCGTTCTGTAACCATCCGTCTTGTTGGATGTGACGATAATCTGTACAGGTTTCAATTGATACAGTGTTCACTGGCATGTTACACTTCACCTTGTGGTCAAGCTAAATTTGCACATTTTCATGTGTGCCGAAGTTTAAAAAGTACGCATGAAATTTAATGGATGCAAGTTACAAGTACCTTTACATACTGTTACCGTATGTACTCGTACCTGCAGTGTGTAGGGATACATGTACATGTATGTAATGGACAACATCCAATAAGTGCATGGATTAGGGGGAGGTGCTGCAGTGAGGTTGTCCATGTGAGTACAGTGCACGTCCTGTGGAGTTCTTGTCAACTAGATAAAATGTGTAGAACCTGTCTGTTAGAGACAGGATCCCTTTGTCCAATTTTGATTAATGCAGAGACAGCTTTATAAACCCGCCTCCAAGGAGAGAGATGTTGGTATCTAATCTTACCGTAAGTTGCCTGTCGGTGGTGTCGGGGCAATTAAAAGGGGGTGCCAACTCCGCCCACAATGTGCATCCCTGTCAAAGGAAATTTGGGGTCCCGCAACAGAAGTTCCAAAGACAGGGCTTAGTGTCACACGTGTGAAAAATAGGGCTGGAAACCATAAAAAATCCCGCTGGGATGTGTCAATAGGTAGTGGAGCAAACCACTCATTAATTTTACGTCTTTTTTGTCTGGTTGTCACTGTTATAATCACTGAGGGCCATCTTGACAGCTGTAGAAACTCTACAACATCACAAGGGTGCAGGGATTTTAGATTAAAAAACAGGTTTTTTTAAACTACACTCGTTGAATGATGAGCAAGTCTTTAGAACTGTCAATTTGTGCCTTAAACTTTGACACGTCAGAGTTTTAGACAGGTTCCATCTCCATTCTTCCCCAAACACTAACCATCTCCCACTGTCAGGATAATTTTGACACCTGAAGAATGGCCTCAGTGAGGAAATATTAAGTTGGCAGCAGTTTTTGCAATCTGAAAGAAGGATGTTCATGTACATGTACATGTACCGTATCTTTGGGTACATGCACCTGCAAAGTATGAAGAGCAGGTGTGTGCATCTTGTGCTTCTGTCCAATGTACATGAAGATTTGTATTTGTTCATGTTCATGTGTTCCTTGCCCATGTTGTGATTCAGTGCCTTGTTGTGGCGACAGTGTGGTCTTTACACGAATACAAAATACTGCCCCAAGTTGTTCAAAGAGGCCCTGGCTTTATGTGTATTTGGTGTCCTAGAACTGTCTCGAGAATTTTAAACCCACACTGGCTGTCTGGGATGATTGTGTAGGAGTTTTGTCCACCCCTTGAGAAAGTAAGGGCTTATCCTGAGCTGGTCTGCAGCAGACGTCACTGGGGACAGGATTTTTAGACAGAACGAAAAACTCTGACCTGGTTGACGAGACTTTCATCTGATATTCTATCCTTCTTCTGGTAATTGTTCTCAGGATGCCATTGAGTTGGTATGGCCTATAGGTAGCACTAGTGCCCTGTGGGGCTCTGACCAGCCTGGAGTCCAGCTATTTTAAGAATTGTGATGGGTCGGTGAGGGACTTATTTTTACACTCACAAAATACTCACAAAGTAGAGACAGAATCCTCATAAAGTGCTCTCAGAGAATACTTTTTGTGGTCAGATTAAGCGCTGTCGGGATGGGGTTGTCAATGAGGACACTATGCCATGTGATGTAGAAATGATGCATTTAAACCTCTCAGATTTTAAGTAGGCATCTCCAAGCTCTTCTCAATACCACGCTCTCTCAGGACGAATGAATAGGAGGTTTGTATGTATTGGAGGGATCAAACCCTTATGAGGCTGGCACTAAGTACTTCTGTCCAGAAATACCAGTATGTCAAATGTGATACAGTAGTCTGTGGGTTGGCTCATTAATCTGCAAAATCTTGACACATTTTCCCATGGGTTTTGGAATGGGTGACTGAAGGAATAACATACACGTACACAATTCAAATTGTTATGTTCATGTGCAATCTCATAACTCAGTGAACCAGATTCATACATGTGCCAGTATCTTTTGAATTGTCCATTGTCTGGTTGTAGAAAACCCAAAGGTTTCAAAGGACGGTGTCCAAAACAGAGTTCCCTGTTCCCTGCTCCCTGCTGAGAAAAAAGTACATGCATAGTATATTGTATTTCCATAACTGCTTACCGACTCACATGTTCAGTGTTTTGACCTATGGATATCACTTACTCAATTTTCTCATTGGTGTAAAGCATTGGCTTAAGATCTTAGTTACGGTACATGTACATGTACATTAGGAGTAGTTGCATGTACAAGCACTTTACAGTGTATCTACATGTACCTATCTGTGGCACAAGTTAAAACATGGTACAGACTAATAAAAAACACTTGTTTAACAAAGAATATTTGTACATGCAGAAAACACATGCATGCACGTATTGAAACCAGTACATGGACACGCCGGTACCAATATTTGTATGTGTATAAATCCTAATGCAGAATTGTCCAAACTTATTTTCATCCTTGTTTGGAGGGGGAGACGACACAGGGAAGACACTTCTTTTGTTGTGGAATTTCAGTGGCCGGGAAAAAAAAAAATGATCCCTTTCTTCAAAAATACCAGAGCAGATTTGCAGTGATAATAAGGAAGGAAGAGACAGATTTTGAAATCCGGCCACACAAATACCCGGGCAAGGTGACCACATTTCCTTGTCTGTGTCAGCGGGGTTTGTGTGTTTGGAATTCTTGAGCAGATTTGGAATGTGACTGTGAGATTGAAATGTGAAAGACTGATGGAATGTGGGAGCAATCGCTGAAGTTCCTGAACTTACATGTACAGTAAATCTAATACAGGGAGACCAGTTGTGTCTGCAAAGTCACATGACCTGCATGTATAGCAGGTAACAAACATCAACATGTAGCCTCCTCTGTGTGCATGTAGCAAAGTGTGTCATAAGTGTTACTGACCACAAAAAAAAGCTTACGGTTGATACTCAGATTACTGATGTGCTGAGTACTATACCAAAAAAAAGGCTTTATTTTTTGTGAACAATGCTTATAACACATGTGGTATGGGAAGATGTTATGTTTGTACAGTAGGTCACATGAATTAACGGGCATAATAGATCTTATTTGGCCTGAGTGCAATGTACATGATGGCATATGTACTATACCAAAAAAAGGCTTTATTTTTTGTGAACAATGCTTATAACACATGTGGTATGGGAAGATGTTATGTTTGTACAGTAGGTCACATGAATTAACGGGCATAATAGATCTTATTTGGCCTGAGTGCAATGTACATGATGGCATATGTACACAAAACAGCATCTCGTTGTTTGCCCAAAAATCAAAGTGGGATGTACCATTCACGTACATGTACCGACCTGTACTGGTACTTATCCTATAACCAGAAGTGGAAAAATGGAATAATACACTTTGAACATACATGTACATGTACAATACATGTACGGTATCTGTATGGAGTTGGACACAGATGCACTACAGTATAAATTTTGTGTTCCACTTGCCCCCACAGAATGGAAAATTTCTTTTCAAGTGGACTTGATGCACATGCACCACCAAATGTGCATGTACCAGTACATGTACATGGATGCCCATGCACAGTACATATACGTAAATGTGTACGTATGCACATGTACATGTACATCAACCCATTAGTGACAGGTAGAGGTCCATGCAATGAGTTTGTCTTGGACACCCGTCATGCAAATATTCTTATTCATTGTATAAAAGTTGAAATTCTTTGTTGTTAAAAGTATTGAAAAAGTGCACTCTTTCAGATGTTTGAAATTGTCAAAGCTTTCCTGTACAGCTGAAAGTGCTGTTGATGCAGAAACTTTCTCAGTTTGCTGATTGAAAATATATCTGTGAACAATCCTAGAGTTACATGTACCATGAACATGTACGTGTACATGTATTTAGCAATAATAAATCAACGAAGAAAACAAATGTATTGCAGCAAAATTTTAAAATCCAGCCTTGGATGGTATCACAGTTTTTTCTCATCAATTAGGCAATTTGCAAAAGCATCAAATCCAAAGAGGCCTAATATATATTGGTAGTCAGCAAAGCAATAATTAAAAATAGGGTTAATTGAAACACTAAGTTATGTACA